ACTAAAGATTATTCAGATTCTATTGACACTTACTGAACTATTTCCAAGGGTCCCTTTCTTTGCACCCCGCCTCTATGTGGATAGCAGACCCCAACACCTCTGCTTCACTTCAGGGTAGTACATCTGAGGTTCTGTGTGTCCTTTCCTAACTAATCCATGCAATAACCCTACAACAAAGGAGATCCTGTCGCACAGGTGAGGAGGCAGCACCATGAGGTGGGTGGACCAAGGCCTCCCAAGAAGTGCTGGGATTTCATAACACAGATCTGGATGATAGGCCCTCAAGAGAAGTAAAATAGCCTTTACATCTGGATGTGGAATGGTTACATCTAGCTGTTTATTGGCTTTTTTAAAAAAATCAATTCTTCCCATGACTTCCCAATAATGTGTCAGGTACAGAACAAACTAAACTTTAAACATTTTAAAACAGAAAAGTCACACCCAGTAAACCCATAATTTATATAACCTATTATTTAATTAAACTGATTTTAAAAGGTCCAGTTTCCTAATTGGACATTTCTTAAAAGCAAATATAACTTGGCCTCATCAACAAGTTTCTATCTGTAATATACATGTCACAGGCATACTGAGAAATAAGCTTGTAACTTTGTTGACGTTCTAGCAGGCTCTGTCCACTATGCTGGCAAAATGATGTAAGCAGAGAGGGACTTCCCACTTGTTCATGTAACTAAACAGCTTGGCCTTCTTTCTGAAGAACAAAGGTCAAAGAATGTGACAATAATCATATCAAACTGTTCAATTAATTGTCATGATTTCTGACAGTAAGGTTTTACGCTGCAATCTGTAGGTTAAGCACTACCAAAACACAGAATTCTGTAGCATTACCACATTTGGTCACTATTTCGAAGTACTGTCATACCTAGTAAGCCAGGACGCCAGTGTTTTAATATACACTGAAAAATACTAAGTAGGCACACATATTGAAATAGGTTAAATCATCACTTCCTTCTATGGCTTGGATCTAAAAAAATACTAAAAATCTATGTCTGAGAGGCTTGGTTCTAAGCTCTTGGTGCTTTTAGGGGCACCAGAGCCTTGGGAAAGTGGGGCCTCAGGGAAGCTGTGCTGTGGGGGTAACTTCAAAGGGATAGTGAATCCCAGCCCTTTCTCTTCCATTCCTGGCTCCACCAGGCACTCAGCTCTTCTGCCACAGGTTTCCACACAATACACTGTGCCAGTAACAGGGCCAACAGGGACGAAACTGAACCACAGTAAACAGCTGAGCACACCTGCCCTCAGAGAGGTTCACATGGATAGTAACAATGAGTTCACATCTACTTGCCTCAAAAATATGATTTATTATTTCTTCTCCATCCTCCATCTCTCTAATACAATAAGGAATGTATGTCATAAGAAGGAATATATTTAAAACACACGTGCTCACACATACATGCACAGAACACAAATGCTGCCCAGGAACACTTAGCCCTTTGACATGTGATACACTCTAGTGCTGTGTCCTCTGACCACCGGTAAGAGGTGAAGCTGAAGAGCGCAGTCTGCCACAGCCACCTCTCTCACCGTGATCTATTCGCCCTCCACACTGCCATGCAGCTCATGTTCACATTACTCTCGCCACAACATCCAAAGGCTCCCCTTGCCTTACCTGAAGAAGCAGAAACAAGTTGGCTTTTCTATCAAGATGCCATTCATACAATAAATACTTATAGTGAAGCTATGGGGCACTGTGCTGGATCTTGGCACACGCTGACATATGGTCAGGCATGACTCCTGACGCCAGAGTTTACAGTCATTACATAAACATCTTTATACTCCGTTGGGAACTCTTTTATCATTCTCTCAACTCCCCGTTCCTCTCCTCAACTCTTACTCCCCTGCTATAACCATTCTGATCTGCACAAAAACCCCAGAGAAGGCTACACTCTGTTATGCAGAGTGGCTGTCATCCACATTCTTTCTCTTCTTCAAAATCTCACAAAATTCTTTCAGCTTCCAAGAATCAGATTAAGTGTGTCCTCTACAGAGCTCCAACAGATTGATTTCGTGACACTTTTAGTTTGCCCCTCCTGCCTCTTGCCATCGCACACCCACCACATTCCTGACAACTCTCATCACAGTGCACTGTGGTCACTTCTAAGATGGCAGTTGTCTTAGGGTTCTACTGCTATGAAGAGACACCATGACCACAGCAACTCTGATAAAGGAAAACATTTAACTGGAGCTGGCTTATAGTTTAGAGGTTTAGCCCAATATCATCATGATGGGAACCATGGTGGTTTGCAGGCAGGCACGGTGCTGGAGAAGGAGCTGAGGCGGCAGCAGGAGACTGTGTGCCACACTGGGAATAGCTTGAGCTCTGAGACCTCAAAGCCCACTCCCACAGTGACACATTTCCTTCAACAAGGTCATACCTACACTAACAAAGCACACCTCCTATGGTGCCACTCCCTATAGGCCAAGCATTCAGTGAGCCTCCAAGGACCATTCCTATTCAAACAGCCACTACAGTCTTCTGTAGACCAGGGTTTTCTTTGTACACATAGCTTACTGTTCACAGAATCAAAGAATACACACAATAATTTTGCATGAGTCCATGACTCTATTAAACTGACTGCTAACTTATATTCTGAAAATAGAATACTTGTGTTTAAAGCCTGTTTTGCCTTTTTTTTTCCTTTTCATTAGGAGTTTTCTGACAAGACATTTGCCTTGGAACTGATCAAGTGAATACTCTTAATTTCACTAACTACCAAGGCAAGAAAAGGCATTACAAACTCAGTACGTCAGTATCTATTACGTGGCACGATACACACAGGCCATGCAGTTACCCCACAAGTGCCTTGAATTGGGAGCTAAGCTGTCAGAGGCCATGAATCATCATCTCTACCCCTTGGCAAAGCTTCGCCTCTCTTTCAATGATTTTAGGGCGTTTCTGCAGAGTGGACCAACTCTCTTAAGTAAGCAACTATTAAGCAAGGTTTAAGCAGGTCACTGATATGCAATAGTAACACAGAACTCACTGAACGCATGGAGAGTCTCCCTGAAGTTCTCATACACTTCACCTTTTCCTGTTTCCAGAAAGACTGACAAGTCCAAATTTCTACTCCGAGGTCAGTTTGTGGTGGGAGTCTCTCACCTTTAAATGTCTTCATTCATTCTGCTGCAGCCCTGGTTCAAATCTGCAGTGTGAAGAGCTCGGAGACTAGCTCTAATCACTGAGCACTCTCTTACAGTCTTGGGTTCCTCCAGTGCAAATGTCACTAGGCCAACATGCAAGAGGAACAGCAAGTATGGGCGGCTGTGCCCACAGGTCTGCCTTAGAACCTGGCACCAGGTGCTTGCCGACCAACCCTAGAACGGCTCTGCTCCCGTCTCCTCCCACCCCCTGGACTGCACAGAAAGACAATGTGGGCGCTTTACTCTCTTTATATCTGTCCTCGGACTGCAATTCCCCAAGCCAGGCCAGGAGTACCCAATGAGAAGGGAAATTCTCAGGCTCCAGCTCCAGACTTTGTGAACCAGAAACTGTATTCTGATGTCTGCTGCTGGCAACAACTGTGTCTGACAATCTCCTTTCAAACCTCCTCCAAGTTTTCCAAACCTGCCACCTGCTTTCCCAACACCCAGATTTGATCCGGTCACGTCTTTCCTCTTCTACGACATTTCTCCTCCTCTGCTTAAATTGCTGTTTTCTTAAATCCTCTTCTGATGATCCCGGCATTGGGGGATTTTTTTCCGTTCTCTAATTCCAACTATTCTGCACACTAACTTAGGTGACAACCTGCACAGATCACTAGTAGGTTGTACCTGACGCAGAGGGGACGTGTTAACCTAGTTGAACGCCAATTACATTAAAATCAAGGGAGAAATCACATAAAAATACGGATATTGGTTCTGTGTTGAGAAAACCAGATCTCTGTAAACGACCCACGCCAAGAAAGACTGTATAGCAATGTTTACACCTTTCTTACATACAGGAAGATCAAGTGTTTGTTTTTACTACGTGACACCAATCACCTGGGGCAATTTTCAATAATTCCCTCGCTCTATCCATTCCAAATAGATTCTTGCGACATCTTCAAAATGCTTAAGTACCGATTTACGCTACTCATGCTTATGTAACTTCTTGTTCATATTTTCTCCTAATAGGAAACAAACCCTTAAAAAACCATTCTCTTAAACATATTATTTCCCAGAATATAATTTTTACTTTGTTAAAGAACATTCTGGACTTTACAGATGACCCCCAAATGTTTCGTTTCTCCTGGAAATTGATTTTCTATACCAGCCTAGAGACCTTTATTGTCTCTTTGTTCTCTAAAATATATGCATGGGCCTCAACTCTTAAGAAGGGCAGCAGGCAGTAAGAAATTCTGTTCACGTTATTAAGGCCTAGGCTGGATTTCACGTTTCAAATACGAAACACGTATGTGCAGTTGACGGGTCCTCCGAGGAAGAGCGAGCGCTACAGGCGCTGTCCATACACTGCTTCGTGACTCCTACTCTGAACCCTACTTCACATCCTGGTGTGAATCTCCACAAAATAAGTGTTCACGCCACTCCCGGGTGTCTGCTACTCCCTTCCCCAGGCGGGGCTGGTGGAAACGGAGCAGCCGCCGGCCCCGTCTCCCTCGGTGCGGCCCGAGCCGAGTGCAGAAAACCGCTGCGACGCCTTTCTTATGTAAGGAAAAAAGCGCGCCGTCCCTCGAGTCCTTCCACCGCATACACCCCGCCCCGATTCAGCCACATCCTCCGCTGCTGCCCCCCGCGAGCCTCCAGGGGGCGCCCCCGACAGCGGGGCTGACCCCGGGCGCAGGACGCACCGGCCCCACTCCCGGCCTCAGCGCGCACGGGGTCCCACACTCACCCTCCCGAGGCCGCACCGCGCCGCGCCGCACCGCCCCTTCCGCCTCCTGCTCCCTTTCTGCCCGCCCCTTCCGCCGCACGCCGCACGCAGGCGCAACGTGACCCCCGCGCAGGCGCAGACGCGCGGGTGGGCGTTCTGTCTCGTGGCAGTGGGGGCCTGCGCGGGACGGGTGGTCCGCCTGGGCGGGGCGCCGGCGGGGACGGCGGCGCTGCCAGCTTGGCTCTTCCCTTCCCGGGAGCGACCTGGCGTCGGCGGCCGCGGTGCCCAAGCCCCCTCCGGGGAAGCTTAGGACGGGCCCCACCGAGGACGGTGCGGACAGTTTGCTGAGCGTGTTGCCACCTGTTGGAATAACCGTTCCTTCCCCAACCGAAGTGCAAGCGGGCTTTAAGTGTCTGAAGGACCCACAGTTTTCCTTTTTAAACTGATTCATTCGTAGTAATATTTCCTAACAGGCCTCACATGGAGGGGCCTGCACTCACGGCCTCAGCAGCACTGCCCGAGGAAGTCCCCTGGGGTGGGCGGGCTCTCCCTGGAAAGGACCTTTGCTTGGGGCGGAATGGTAATTTTGTTTTAAAGACAGGGCCTCTGACTGGCCTTAAACTTGCTCTGTAGACCAGGCTGGCCTTGAACTCACAGAGATCCACTTGCCTCAGACCCCCAAACGCTGGGATTAAAGGTGTGCCCTATGGTTCCCTGCTGTAACTAATTAAAAAAAAAAAATTAAAGCATACAACTATGTAACAAGTGCTGAAGCGGCTGTAAACTAGTCCAGGAGTTTTAGGGGAAAGTTTCTCTCATATTGTAATCAAGATGATCTACATAATATTTTTTCTATTTTGACAAAGGACAAATTTGTGAGGAAGTTTGCTAATTTAAAAACTGATCCCTAGCCGGGCGCTGGTGGCGCATGCCTTTAATCCCAGCACTCGGGAGGCAGAGACAGGCGGATCTCTGTGAGTTCGAGGCCAGCCTGGTCTACAAGAGCTAGTTCCAGGACCGGCTCCAAAGCCACAGAGAAACCCTGTCTCAAAATAAATAAATAAATAAAAACAAAAACAAAACTGATCCCTAGCCTTTACCTGTTTTTTTTTTTTTTTTTTTTTTTTTTGTTGAAACTCTAAAATGTTTGCGTGCAGGTTGCTTTTTAAAGATGGAGTATTCCCCAGCTGTTCGGGAATATCACTCCTTTGGAAAATACTAATAGCTGCTTCAGGAAGCAGAAGTGCTGGTGGCACCAGTGCGCAGGGAAACTGGAACCTGCCTTTGAGACTTCCACCTATGCAACACTCTTCTGAAATGGTTTAGCCTGAATCCCGTTGTTAAAAGCCAGACAGGAAAATTCAAAACTGGCTTTATTTGGACTTCAAAAATGTCAGTATCGTAAAAAGTAACAACTGAACAAAATGATTATGTCTGAGGCAACTGAGCAATCTTGGGTAACAGAAAGGATTTTAAAATTTTAAACACGAAGACACATTATTGACTTGGATTTCTCAGAAATTATCTTTTTTAAAAGAATCATTTTTGTCTTTTATCCATGTGCAATCAAGTAGGTCTCAGGTCATGAGATCTACAAATTTCACGATAATCGAGAATGAGTGCGTGAAGAGAGAAAATGTAGGGCGTTGTGTTAAAAACAGGTCATTTAAGTGGCAGCTGTACATGTTCATTCTCTCACCATTAGTTTGAAGTGTTTAAAAATAAAGTGTTGGGGCTGGAGCAGCGGCTCAGTGACTAAGAATATATTTGCTGCTTTTGCAGAGAAGATAAATGGATTCCCAGCACCCCACAGGCAGTTCACAACTGTCTGTAACTCCAGTTCCAAAAAATCAGTGCCCCCTTCTGACCTCTGGACATCAGCCACGTATGTATAGCACATACATGCTTACAGGCAACATAAAAATAAATATTTTTTAAAGTTAAAAGTTGGGGAAACATCCTACCTAACAATTATTTAATTAAGCATTCGCATATAAGAAATAAAATTTATAATATAGTAGTTTTCTTATCATCTGACCTCAAGAAATGCTGTGCCATGTCTAAGAGCCGGGGGAAGGGCTTAGAAATGACCTCGTTATTACAGGTATCATATTTAACTCCATATACGAAGGCATGGGAATTCAACCAAAGTAATGTGCATTGTCTGATGGTCATGGTCAGTGCTGTGTGTGGCATGCTATCATAAGTATAATAAGACCTGTTCTTTGTGTTTTGTTTGGTTTGGTTTTTCGAGACAGTTTCTCTGTGTTACAGCCCTGGCTGTCCTGGGACTAGCTCTGTAGACCAGGCTGGCTTCCAACTCTTAGAGATCCGCCTGTGTCTGCCTCCTGAGTGCTGGGATTAGAGGTGTCCACCACCACCGCCCAGCAAGACTTGTAAATTTTTATAATTGGTCAGTATGGCTTTTTAAATACTCATTCCAACATATTTATACTTGAGTAGCTTCCATGTTTCAGATACTGTACAAGGTACAAAATGGAACTCCGGATAGCAAAAGGCAAACATGCCCGTGCCCTTTTATAGGCTGGCATTGTGTTTGTATGTAGCCTACTTCCACCCTTAACATGTTTAAAGAACACAACAGGGAAACTGAGTCTGTTCTGTAAGCCACCGAGAATGGCTTTTATTCTGCCTGTGGCAATCATCACTACATCTTTAGATTGACTGGCTTTGTTACACTTATCTGTTCTTAAGCACTTCATTTCTCCATTGCCCACGTCAAATGGTTAGTGAACACTTGACGGACACTTTTGAAGTTCAGCACTTTAAGGAACTGCGTTACAACCACGTATGAGAAGTGCAAAGATGCCATCTAGTTTCTGTGTGTGGAAAGGAATGTAGTCTTCATTTTATATTCACGTCTCATCGTATATGTAATTAATTTATCCTAAAATTATTCATTTCTTTCAGGCCCAAAGGCATATTTTTTATGTTCAGGTTTATGGAGTAGACAAAACTTTATATCCAAGGTTATCCTTGTGACCTTTTAAGGAGGCCAGGAGCTCATTTCTGCCTCCCAGCAGGTGGCAGCAGATGAGAACTTAGAGAGGTGTGGGAACTTCTCCCGGGTTATCCTGTCCTGGTTAAGATCCTGGCTGTGGCAGGCTGACCATTCATAGTAAGAAGAGCAAAAAGAATACTTATACTACCCACCTGGGAGTTTGTATCTGCTCACTAGGGGAGATATATTTAAATTATACAACGGAATTTTATTGTGTAGTTATGTTAGTATTCTTTCTCAATTTATTCTTTTTCTTTCGACTTTATTATGGCATTTTGTGTGGGACTTTTGCATCTGTTTTTCTGAGTGAGACTAATATTGTCATTATGTTTCTTGTCTAAGCTCATATGAGATTGACACGGGTTATCCTATGCAAGCCACCCTGTTGGAACAACACTAATGTTCCCATTCTATGGTTAAGAATAAACATATTGTCCATAACTATAATCCATCATCTTTATCTCAGAATTTATGCAGTTTATCTGAAGTATTCTTATAGACAGATATATTGTTTTTAAAAAGCCTTTAATAGAAAAACATGGAGAAAAAAAATGAAAGCATCCAAGACACGGCCAGATAACTGTGGGGCATGGGACAAGCTAGTGTGCAACCTGTTTCTGTACACTGCAACATTCTAGGGAAACTATCAGAAAAATAAGGATAAAGAGAGAAATTAGTCATATCTGGAGGAATCGAACAGTAGTCTACAGACAGGAGACAAGACCCTTCAGCTGACTCAGTGCCAGGGCATGCTGGTAATGGCTGGGGCCATAGTTGGTCGTCACAGTCAGGGCACTGTTAATAAGGGACTGGGTGAAGCCAGGGCAGCACTAAGCATCCTGCCGTGCACACGGCTGTCTCCCTCAGCTTTGCTGACCTCCTCTGCTGGGAAAGACCTAGTTACAACTGTAAGACAAGAATATTACAAAGTAATTTAGAGCAATAAAACCAGATAATGGACAAATTCAGTAAAAACTACGGGGTATGTTATTTGCGTTTTAATAAATAAAGCTTGCCTGAAGATCAGAAAGCAAAGTAGCCATACTAGTCAGCCATACAGTCCAGGGAGTGGTGACACCTTAAATCCCAAGACTCGGGAGACAGAGGCAGATAGATCAAGGCTACCCTGGGATACCCAAGATTGAATCTGTCTAAAAGAGAAACAGCTCACATAAAGGCGATCCCAGACCTTGGAATCACATACCTTTAATCCCAATCCTAGGGAGGTGGAGACAGGAACAATATGACTGGGCAGAGAGCGGATTAGAAAGGGGAAGAGACAGGAGCTCAGTGGAGTGGGGAGTCTGAGGTTGGTGGAGAGCATTGCAGGACCACTCCCTTGTCTGTCTATGCCTTTGTAGAGGTAAGAGACAGTGGCTGGCTGCTTTACTTCTCTGATCTTCAGGTTGAACCCCAATATCTGTCTCTAAGTTGTTATTATTCATGTTACATTTGGCACCCAACTTTTGGGTTAAATTCACCAAAAAGCCGTTTGCCTGTGGCTTTTCCACTACCAGAATAAGCTGGAGCTACACACAGCCAGAGTCACTGCCTTACTTACTAGTTTTTTTTTTTCTCTCCAGGAGGGCACTCACTGAACCTCTTCCTCTAGCTGCTGCCAAACTAAGTTGCTGCCTTGAAACACAATCAAATTTTTACTGTTCTACACAGCAACAGTAAGCCTCACATCTTCATCAACATCATCAGCAGATTTGGTAAGACAATTAGAACTCTTTAAAGGGAGGAATTATTTAAAGGAGAAAGTTTTTCCAACATTTAAAAATGGGCAACACCATTACACTTGGAAGGATTTGTCTCTCTGTACGTTAATATGCTAGACAGTTTGAAGATGGAGTGATTAAATGAGAGGGTGACTAATTTAGGTGAGATTTACGTAATGTCAATTGTAAACATTACCAGAATTATCATCTTTGTCTTATCACTATTAGAAAGCTGGTTAATCTAAGATGCAGGCCTTGGAAAAACTTAATAAAACATCATAGAGATATTCAAATCCAGACAGAGGAATTTAATAGAGAGCCAATTTCAGCACTGCATTGTAAGAATAAAGAGGAACAGTCTAAGGTTTTCAAACAACCAACCTTAGTGTCTCCAGTAACCTTAAAGGAATTGCCAAATGATAGAATAAGAACATAATGGACTTCTGTGCCAATGTCAGATTTAAGGAGATCCAGGGAAGCAATTGTCTCATGTGGCATGCATTCACATTTTTTGAGGCAAATGTTAAACTCATGATCAGTTTGTAATAGAATTTTCCCTAAAGACTGGATAGATTGGTTAAAGGTGTTAAAGGTTAAAGAGCCTGATCCACAATTACAATGGAGCACCTGGTTCAGAGAAAAGGCTAAGAGTATTGAACAATGAATGGGGTAAAGCTAGAGATGTGGAAATCTCCCAAGATCAAACACTCTTAGAAGGAAATTATGCTACTATAGAAAGGCAATCCTTATATGATGGCCACACCCTGGCTTTATGCCATGCAGCAGCATTGAATGCTTGGAACAGAACTGAAGAAGTAAGAAAGAAGATTGAACCACTTACTAAAGTCATACAGGGCCCAAAAGAAGCCTTCATGGATTTCTTACAAAGATTGACATTAGTAGTAAATAGAATGATACCAAATTCAGAAACTAGACAAGTAATTAAATCTCTGGATTTTGAAAATGTTAATTCTCGATGCAAAAGAATATTTAGGCCATTAAAGGCAAGGTCAGCAATGGATTCAAGATACAATTAATAATTGAATCTCATGACCATGATGATACTTGTATAGGAGAGCTGATTTCCAGAGGTTTGAAGATAAATTGAAATATGAATCTTAACTGCATTCTGGTCATATTATCCTTCAAACACTCTCCTATAGGATTTTAATGCAGAGGGAAGGTATTGTTTTAGAATGGATCTTTTAACCATATAAACTGAGTAAAAAATTTAAAACTTACGTGGAAAAAGTCTCTGAGTTAACTCTAAAAGGAAAAATGAAACTTTATCAATTAGCAGTAGTAGACCCAGTAGAATTATAGTACCTTTTTAATAATGATGCAGTTAACAAATTATAAGAAGAAAGTGAACCCTGGCAAAGAGTTTGTAGTAATTTTTTGGGATAGATTAACAACAACTATCCCAAAAGCAAGAGAATTCAACTTACAAATAGAACGAACTCGATCTTTCCTCACATTGTACAGGACACAGCAATAATTGAGGCCCCTGCATTCTATACTGATGCAAATAAATCAGGAAAGGCAGGTTACAAAATTTAAGTAAAATGCACCAAAGACCTTATGATTCTGTCCAAAAGTCAGAATTATATGCTATTCTCATGGTACTAAGGGATTTTAAAGAACCTCTTTAAATTTACTGATTTGCAATATTCATAAAGAGTTGTTTTGCATATTGAAACTGCTGAATTTATACCATTTGATACAAAATTGACTATTATTTACTCAGTTACAGGATACAATCAGGAATAGGAATCATCCATATATATAACACACATCCAGTCCCATATAGGTCTGCCAGATCCTGTAGCACAATGTAATGCAGAAATCAATTATTGATTAGAAATGTGCAGAAGGTTTCAGAATTTTATTAAAAATATACATCAATAGCAAAGGTTTAAGAAAAGACAATCACATGGAAACAAGACAAGGAAACCATAAGAAAATATCCTACTTGTTCTTTATATAACCAAACAGCATTACCTGCGGGAAGTAACCCAAAGGATACTCAAAGGAATGAAATCTGGCAGATGGATGTGTTCCATTTTTTAGAATTTGGAAAATTACAATATATACACCACACCATTGATACCTATTTAGATTTTTCAATGGGCAACTGCTTTAAATTTGGAAAAGGCTTATTCAGTGATTACAACACTTGCTAGAATTTATGGCCATCATGGGTACACACCTGTACAAATAAAAACAGACAATGTTCCAGCATATGTCTCTAAGAAAATAAAATACTTCTGCTTATTATAATATAAAGCACATTTATAGGTATACTGTGCAATCCTATAGGCCAGGCAGTTATAGAAAGATCAAATCAAATTTTAAAGGATATGTTAAATAAACAGAAAGGGATGATAAATATCCCCCAGAAATAGATTAAATAATGCTTTATTAACTTTAAATTTTCTAAATGCTAATGAGAAAGGAACACCAGCTGCAGAGAGACACTGGATAATAGAAAAAGCTAAGGAAATAAATCAGTTGGTATACTTTAAAGATGTGCTGACCTCAGAACAGAAACTAGGACATGTGTTGCATAGAGAAGGGGTTTTGCTTTTGTTTCCAAGGGAGAAGAAAAGTTATGGATACCATCAAAATTGATAAAGATTAGATTTGAACAAGAGACACCTCTTAATTAGAAGAGATGATAGTTCATCAAATAGCATGGCCACTTAATCTAAATTAACCTATAAAACTAACAAGTACTTTTCATTTGATCAGCTATAACTTGCAGAAAGAGAATCTCCTCCAAGTTAAGTGTGGAGAAGGGTTTCTATTCTCCGTTTTCAGGAGAGTAAAGGCATCCAGCTGAGGAATCTGAAGACCACTGGACAGATGAGACATCTGAAGAACAAATCATCCACAAAATTGTCTCAAGAAAATGAGTAAATTGGCCTATTGGTATATGACATTCCAACATTGGCCTATTGGTATATGACATTCCAACAGAATAAAATTTTATGAATCTTCCCAAATCTTTGTTTCTGCTATTCTCTACAGACACGGTCTTTTTGTAGTCCCAGTCCAGTTAAAGATTAAAGCTGGCTTTAGTTGGAGTGTGGCTCTCTCCTTCTCCAAACCCAAGCATGCTGGTTAAAGTGAAATCCAAACTCTGCCTCATGTCAGAAGAGCCACCTGATATGGCACAGAAGAAAAACAAATGTTTAGGGACTATTCTGTTGTCACTAATCTCATAGTTCTGTAGTTTTATATTGACTCTTTAACAGCTTTTCTTATAGTATAAATTTTATAAGATTAATACATATTTTATATTCTAAACATTTTGTCATGATATTGTTATTCATATGGAGTACTAATTCTAGAAACAGGTTTCATCTACCTTCCTACACATGGTTTGAGCTTGAGTTTCTATCAGATTTTTGCAGTGAACCATGAGCATGCCTAACAGTGACCTTAGAAGTCTCCAAAAAGAGGATGGGACCCCACAGTGATGATTCTTCTAGGACTATGATAACACCACTAAGATAAAAATACCACTGAAGATCAGCTTTGGAACTACAAACTGTTGGGAACAATTTTGAGGTGGCTAGCTGAGATGATCCAGTCTCACAGACTGCTCTAGCCAGGACTTGAGACAAGCCCTGCACTTTCCCATTAGGCAGAGACTGAACAACAAATGATACAGCTGCCTCTCCCAGGACTTGACAATTAACCCAAATTTTTCTTTTCAGGATTCCCTAAAGATACCATCCTTCCCAGACAGCAGGGAGTAAATTTAAGAATACGATGCCTGCATTACCAAGAGGTGGGGATTTGGTTTTTGGTTATTCAGAAGATAATGGATATTTGTCATTGTTTAGGGAGATTGGTTACCCATTGTTGTTTGTTATGGCCAGGAGGATAGTTGACTATTTAAAGGACTTATGATGTCAGTTTTATATAAATTTGGAAAAAGGAGGGAATAATGGTAACACAATCTTATAAAAACTGAGGTGTTAGAAAAACAAGTCACCAACAAGTACCACATAGAAACAGGTGCAGAATTCCTATACAAAATAGAAAAAAAATACAACAGGCACATGGGATTTATTCCAAAATGTAACTATCACCTAACGTAAATAACTCAAATGCCTGATGGCACAGGTTGGTAATTCCAGCTTCTTGGGAAAGTAAGGCATTATCAGAGATTCAAAGCCTGCCTAGGCCAGCTAAAGTCCAGTCAAGTACTCAGGGAGAGAGAGCCAGAGAGACTAACACTCCAGCAGCAACCAACTCTTTCTTTCTTTCTTTCTTTCTTTCTTTCTTTCTTTCTTTCTTTCTTTCTTTCTTTCTTCCTTCCTTCCTTCCTTTCTTTCTTTCTTTCTTTCTTTCTCTTCCTCCCTCCCCCTCCCTCTCTCTCTTTCTTTCTCTCTTTCTTTCTTTCTTTCTTTCTTTCTTTCTTTCTTTCTTTCTTTCTTTCTTTCTTTCTTTCTTTTTTAGTTTTTCAAGACAGGGTTTCTCTGCAGCTTTGGAGCCAGTCCTGGAACTAACTCATTTAGACCATGCTAGCCTTAAACTCACAGAGATCTGCCTGCTTCTGCCTTTCTGGTGCTGGGATTGAAGGCGTGCGCCACCACCGCCCAGCCCAATCTGTATTTCCAACTCCTGATGGAAACAACTGTAGAACTAGAAAATCAGGAACTTTATTGCATAATGACGTCTGTGAATGACCAGCAGCCACCAGAATGCTTATTCACCAATAGTTTGTCCTAGGACCGGCAATAAGATGAGGCTGTCTGCCCATACAACTTCTGTTGAGCTTTGTTTTGGCTTCTCCCACGTCTTCCAAAGACAGAAGATTAGAAAGGAAGGCAGTTAAGCTACTCACAGCTCAGTGCAGACAAGTCTGAGCTACTTGTCCCTGTAGGCTATGTGTGCAGGGAGTCTCTTAATTCTGCTGGAGTTAATGCTAGGTCACAGGGTAGACACTGTGTTTCCACATGCCAGCAAGCAGCAATTGGGACATGAAATTTTAAAACAGTATTTAAAATACTGTCTTTAAATACTTAAATACTTTAAATATTTAAAATGCTGTTTTTAAATTTTTTTAAATATTTAAAATACTTTTAAATGCTTTTAATGAAGACAGGGGCTGTATTCTGAAACTACAAAGCTGGTGAAATGAAAACATTCAAATAAACAAAGTAATGGCCACACTGCAGATTGTTGGCCTCGGAGGTTCAGACTGACACTGAGGTTGGGGCCTCCTCTGCCAGCAGACGAATATGGGAAAGGAGTGTGGGATTTTCAGTACCTGTTTCCAGTCAGGTTCACCAACCTGGGTCTGCCCTGAGCCGGGAGCAGTCTGTGAACACTGGAGCTGGCTGTCTAAGCTCTGATATTGTCCCAGAAGTAGAATTATAGCATATTTAAGATCCACGAAATTGTCCTTTTTTGCATTCCTCCCCACTGATGGCTGCAGCTGGTAAAACAGAATGCTTCTTTCGCTGAATTTAGAGAGTAGACAGAATGTGGACTTCATGTGCCTGATGGTAGAACAGAAATTCACGGAACTACCGTTTGCAAACTCCGGTTCCGGTTGCCAGGTGTCTTATGGTGTTCAGAGAGAGATGATTTCGAGGAGGGAGCCCCTAGGATTTCCTATGCTGACTAAATCTCTGTCACCCCATTATTCCAACAAAATACTTAAAAATCATTCTTTTTTATTTTTTTATTTTTTATTTATTTATTTTTTAAATTACCGCCTCCTCCCCAGTTCCATTTCCCTCCCCCTCCTCCCACACGTCTCCCCCTTCCCCCACTCCTGGATTTTGGGG